TCCTGCAATCCCCTGCCTCATTCACTACACACCTCCAACTTCTGCAACAAATGAAGCATGGGTTCTACAAACAAGAGATTCCTTCACTGCACAACTACAATTCATCTCCAGAGTAAGTCCACTGAATGAGGCAGGAATCATATATGATCATGTAATTAAAATGTATCACATTGACATCCACATGGCACATCAGCACGCCTGCAATTTTAGAGTCACTGCACAGACCTCTGCTATTTGAGCTAAAAGAATAACTGATAATGACACACACACTTTGCCAATAGGTATCACAGATATTTGCTGACAGCAAAGCCCCTTCCCACCCCCCCGCATCCCCCTTCTGTTCTGCAATGTGATTTGTCCTTTTCATATTTGTTCTTTTTTTTAATTGTATCCTTTGGTATATATGGTTGTGACTACTTTCTTCCACTATTTGATCTGAGGAAGTGGGTCTGGCCCACGAAAGCTCATCATCTAATAAACCATCTTGTTAGTCTTTAAAGTGCTACATTGTCCTGCATTTTGCTTCAACTACCCCAGACTAACACGGCTACATTTCTATCACTATTCAGCAAAGGAATAGTGAGACTCCAGAATCTTGGGTTCCTCTCCTAGACCTGAAAAGGAGCATGCTTTAGTAACCACAGATTATTATGCTTATTTTCCTCCAAGATTAACCTTTTCTGCCACATTCCTTCCAACCTGTCCCAGTCCTGTCAATTCCCCACCACGCCACTTTGTCCTTCTCCCTTTCTCCTTGTTTACCCAGTCCCAGTCTCCACTCCTCAGATTTCTTATCCCACCAAAACTCCCCTTGAGGAACCAGTCTCAATTCGTGCCTTCCTGCTCCTCATCCAACCTGTCTCTCCCCTTCCTGCTCCCACCATTGGTTCATTGTCTTCGTTTCCCTCACTGGACTCATGAAGTTTTTGTCTTCACTCCATGACTCTGATCCAGTCTCCTCCCTCCCTGATTCTTTGACCAGTCTCTTCCTCCACCCCTTCCCAGCTCACCCACCTATTCCCCCACCAAACTCTTTACCAGATTTGTCTCTTCTCTCCCTGCCAGACTCTGGTTCTCTCCTCTCCTCCTCCCCCAGTCTCAATGTTTTCCCCAGTCAATTAAATCACAATCCCTTCCACTGACTCCCAGGCCCAGTCTCCCACCCCATGGCTTCCAGTTTTCTTTCCCAGCCAGTTTCTGCTTCATTCCCTTCACTCCCACCCTAATTTCCAGTTTCTAGATCCAGTTCTGTCACCACCAAGTCAGTCTCCCAAGCCCATCCTCCTTCCCCCTCCAATCTCAGTCTCACCAGAGACCTTGTCTTAACCTATTCATTTCCTTTTCCCCAGTTAAGTTTTGGCCCCTTTCTCGATGTAGCTAGCATTGAGAGCACAAGAGATACAGGCTCCTTGCTCTAAGTACCAGTGTAGTAGCAGCAATTACAAAAAAACTCTGGCTTCACCCTCTAGGCCTGCTCAGTTGCTTAGGGATGGTGCATGCAGAGTCTGGTCATCAAAGACCTCTTCTTAGCTAAAGCTCACAACCAGTACTCCATCCTCATCCTTGACTTGTCAGCCACCTCTAGCACACAAGTTACTCTCTTCCCAAAATCTTGACCTCTGTCTTGGCTTCTGTCTCTCTCCCCTTCTGGGTGCCCTCTCTCCTCCCTCTTTAACAGGCTCTTCTGCAAGGTTAAAGCCTCAGAGGGATAGCTGTGCAAGTCTAACTAAAAACTGTAAAAACAAGGAGAGGTCCTTGGTCCTCTTCTCTTATCCCTCTTACCTGTCATTTCTGGGTAATCTCGTTTGCAAACAAATTCAGCTATTATCTCTAAGCTGACAACTCAGATATCCACCTTTCTACTGCAGAAGTGTCCTCTTCTGTCCAAACTAAAATCTCATCCTGTCTCTGTTTGATATCTCCTCATGGTGTTTTAGCTCTCAGGTCAGCAGAGTTAAAACAGAGATCCTAGCCTGCCTCTTTATCTTCTTTCTTCATCACTAATAGAGACCACCATCATCCTATCTGTCACTCAGGCCTGTAAACTAGGTGTCTTTTTCAGCTTGGCTCTCTCTCTCTTTCTTGATCCTCCAATCCAAATTGTGTCTACATCTTGCAGATTTTTCATGCATAAAATCTCTGAGATACGACCTTTCATCTGGGCTCTCAATCTTTCTTCTTGATTACTGCAACATTGTTCTCACTGGCTTTGACAAATAAGATCTTGCCCCATTCATATCCATTCAGCATGGTGCTGGAAAGATCACCTTCCACACCACCCTCTTTGAATCCATCCACTGACTCCCCCATAAGCCTCATCTTCACTTTCAAGGCCGTTTACGGAACAGTCACACCCTACCTATCATCTCTCATCAAATTCACTACTGACATGTCAGCTTTTACTTCAGTCCCCATTATGCCACCCTTCACTGCCCATTTGTTAGCTTTTTAAACATGTATCTTTGTGCTTTCTTCCATGCTGGTCCTCATAATTGGGAGGCATTCCCCATAAATATCTGCAGTGCTACCTCATTATCTTCTTTCAAATTCCTCCTCAAACTCTCCTTTTCCATGATGCCTATAAAAAACTTGACAACATCCAGCCTCCACTGCATAACAGACTGACCATTCATTAAAATCTTTAAAAACAACAAATAGACTAGTAGCACCTTCAAGACTAACAAAACAGGTAGCTGGTATCATGAGCTTTCGTAGGCGCAACCCACTTCTTCAGATGACAATGACCATTCATTGTTTCCTTACACTCTCTCTCCATCTGTATTCATCTGATGGATCTTTTTTATTTACTGTGAGGCTGTCTACCAGCATGACAGCTCAGGTCAAAGCTCCGCTTTCAAAAGTGCAATTGGAAGAAGATATGCAAATTCCGCAGGAATGTGTATATCTTCTTTCAACCGATCCCTGTAGTCTAGATGAGCCCTATCAGAGGCAACAGCGCAGGGAGGGGGAAGGCGGGAGCCAGTGCACGCGAGAAGCTGGCTTAAAAACTGGAACCCTGCACGCACCAGCTACTCTCTTTACAAGATACACTCTCTTTGTAATTGCTCTTGGTATCTTAGAACAGTAAAGTAGCCACTGAGCAGTCAATAATGGCACTGAGGTGTTCAAAAACTATTTTTGTAAAGTTTCAATGATTTTTTTTAATAGTTCTAAGATTTCTGACAGAAATTTACGTTTATATTTGAAATTGTGAAATTAAATTCTCTCCTAGACCAAAGCTGCAAATACTAAATTTATGGCCAGCATTTTAAACCTCTGTACAGAAGGATTTTTAATAGAAACATAAATAGCACTCTGAAATCAAGAAACAACCAACAGACAGTAGGAATAATACCTACCTCAAAACACTACACTGTAGTTTTGATATACTGAAGAACTTTAAATGGTGAAGTTTTGTTTGTTTTTAACCAACTCTAAATGGTTTATATAGGGTTAAACAAGTCCAGAGGATGCAACAAATAACATAAGCATGCAACCCTCAACTTTTTCATTCATGTAATGTCTCTGTAAATCATTTGAAGCTTCATGAATATTAATATACTGTCTCCCTGTTTCTAAACAGGGCTCTAAGCATGGTCTCTGGATACCTCACAGCCAGCTCCAATTTACATTTTAACAACTAAAATCAAAATTAAAATATATTGTAAAAGACATAAATGAACATCTTCCAGTAGAAACTTTATAACCTTCCTTTTTGCCATCACTTTTTCCTTAAAAATTAATAAAAGTGTCATTAAATACACACTTTCTTGCATACTTCATGTGTTTCCAGCTTCTTTTTAGCTCTATAAATATCATTGGGTGCGGTAATTTGGGATACTACATTTGCACACAATTTTTAAAGGCACAGATGCAGTGTTTTTTAATTTTCTCAAGCTATCCAAATGTCTTGATATTTTACAGAATAAACAGAATGCAATTCTTCTTAAGCTAAGAGGATAGATTCTTCCCATCATATGCATAAATCTGACTAAGAAGGCAGCTATACAAACCATAGAAGTTAGAGATGTACAAGATCTCTCATTTCCAAAGTCTCTACTTTAGAGAAGTTCCCCCTCTCATATTTCAACTGTTTCCATTAATGGAGCCTCTCTGAAATCACTTGACAATTTTTTCCATTCTCAAAATGATCTTACTATTAGAAGCTTTTCTTTAAATCTAAAAAACCCCAACAAAGAGTCTGGTAGCACTCTAAAGACTAACAAAACATGTAGATGGTATCATCAGCTTTCGTGCGCCCTATTTGCTTTTTAAGTTTTTCCTGATACAGACTAACTCAGCTACCACTCTGAAACTTTAAATCTAAAGTTACTTCTTTAATTCTTAGGAATTACATCTTTTAATACCACTTTGATCAATATCACCCACTCCTGGTACAGTACTGAACCATTGTTTGAGTGATACTGCAGGCTTACTAACAAACCTGTGTCAGGATCCACTGTGACACTACATTCCTGGGCACTTTAATTCATAAAGGAAGGGCACTACTTCAGATCCCAAATTTATGATCACACCACTTGAGCCTAGAAAAGCCACGCTCCATTTGAGACTCCACAAAATTTAACAGGAGGGAATAGGAAATCGATCATCAACAGGTAATACTGACCAAAAAGCATTGGAAGTACTATCTTAGACAACAGCATCAGAAGTTACAGAACTAAATGAGCCATATTTAATTGAACCAACACAGATAACAGCCTTACCAAAAAACTAAAGAAAGTAAAACTCTGAAAAAGATATGGGAAAGAGAATATTGTAAACCCATTCCTAAATTTTGAAACACATATTAAGGAAAACACAATAGTCGTCAAACTGAATGAGCAAATAATGGGTTTTTTCCTTCACAGTTATGCTTTACAGTAACTGGCTTGTCCACCTCTGATAAAACATCATCGGTTTTTCATCTTCCTGTTTTCATGCTTCTCTGATTTTATGACTATGGGTCGGAGACTTGGGGGAAGAAAAAAAAAAGAACTTACTGGTATTGAAAATTCCTCAGCCAAGTACTTCAACAAGGACGCTCCTCTGGCCAGGAAGTTACTTCTCTCCAACAAGTTGCCTTGAAGTTTCATATCAAATTCCTTTCTGACCACTGAAGCAATAGAATCAATTATTACAAGCTTAACCTTCTTAGAAATGATTTCTTCTTCCAAAGTCTCAATCCTTTAAAAAAAATTATATTGACTTAGGTGAAGCAATAACATCAGATATTAGTTGTATAAGTACTATGGTTAGCACACATTCTCACAAAAATATTTTATAAGCATAAACCTGTTACACCAAATTATACAAAATGGCCACAACCCCCACAGACAGCATATTACGAGCTGTGCAGGTGCTCAAGGCTGCAGAAGCGAGAGATGCTTTCCCCCAGCATCAGATCTGATGCGGCAGGAAGAGATGTCTATCCCCTGCAGCCCCAACCCAGCCCTTGATCTGCTGCAGCCTGAGAAGAGGCAATCATTTCCTGACCCCAGCCCAGCGCCCCTCCCCCAGTCTCAACCCAACCCTATCAATTGTGGCAGGGAAAGGCACCTCTCCACCCAGCCCAAGTGCTACTTCAAGGAATGAGAACTGGAGGGGCTGGGAAGAGTCCTCTCTCCCCTCCTGTATCCCCAGGAGCATCCTGCACCCCAAAAGGCTGAATCCAAAGCCCACAACCCCAGCCAGAGCCCTCCCCTTGCACTGAACCCCAACCTTGAGCCCTAGATCTCCAGTCCTACTTCAGAGTCCACACCTCCAGCTAGAGTCCTCACACCCCCACACCACAATCTTCTGTCCTAGACCTGAGCACACATCCCCCCTCAGAACCCTTCTGTCCCTCCCCGCCATATGAATTTTTGTGTGTGCACCAATATGGAGGTGATGTGTTTCGCATCACTTTCATATTAGTGCACAGAGAAAAATTAGAGGGAATACTGGTCTTAGTTATATAGTAAGCTGTTTTCATAACAGCTTGTCATCACAGGTTACACAGGATCATAATGTAAAAGGCTTCCTGGGCAGGCAGTCATGAGTGAGCTCCTCTCTGTGTTTGCAGGAGGATCCTGGGATCTCCTTTTCTATCTCCCCCATAGTGTAAAGATGGAAGGAAGATACCCAAGAGGAATATTTGCGAGGTACTTCCATGATTTTGCTCACTCTATTATAAATTGAGCAAGAATAAACTGGGTGCCCATCAGATGCACAAACTCCTTATGAATTACATCTAAAAGTTATGAAGGAATTCCTGAAGACCACATTTTGTTAGCTAGGCATTAGAGTTTACTGTATTATAAAAATAGCAACATTAATATCCATTGGCCGTATGCTAAATGAGATATCACAGAAAGCTTTTTCAAAGCCTTTCAAATAAAGACAACATGGGATCAAACACGTGAATCAAAATACAGGGCTGCTGGTCATTTTGCACTAATTTTATCTAGTCAGACATGCCTAGTTATTCAAAATATAAAGGGCCAAAGAAGTGAATTACCATGTATAAAGCTTGAAATGTAAAACATATTCACTACAAATCATTTAGCAATTATGGGCTTTTCATTGCTTTCCAAAGTAAACAATACCTTTTTAGCACACAGTCACAGGTGAGTTCCGGATAGAGATGAATGCTACGGGTCATTGAAAACAATTTTTCTTCTGTGACAAAATAATTAGGGAAACGGTGTCCTGCTATCTCAACCAACCTGTCAAAATCCAAAAGGCACATCACAGCAAATTCTGAGCTAATAAGACAGAAACCTTCCCGTATCCCTGACCAAAAATTAAAAGTATAAAAAGGAAGAGATATTTGATTAACTAAATAGATGAAGACTGAACAAATGTACATTTAAAATTAATATTTCACTTCTTTTTCCAAGAAGGAAGCACGGTCTAGGGATGTTAGCAACTAGTCAACTGTCTGATAAGCATTTGCTTATCAGACAGTCGCATAGCAACTTGACTGGTCACTCTCCCCATCCCCCCATAGGGAGAGGCAGCAAAGGGGGGAGCAGGAGATGGTGCTGGGGGAACCAGCTTTAAGCCCTCCAGGGCTCTTGTACATTTCAAAAGCAGAAGTGTCACAGGGAGCACAGCGCGAGTGGGGACTCAGGCAGTCCCTGCTCCAGACCCCCCCCCGCCCCCCTGCCCCCCCCCCCCCCCCCTTTGCTGCCTCTATGAGAAGCAGCAGAGGGGGACAGGAGCCGGTGGTGGGAGAAGTCGTCTTATCAGAGGCACTGAGTGGCGGGGTAATAGGGAACACAGTTGTGAAGCAGACCCTGTCCGCAGGAGACCCAACAGGGAGCTGGGCCCCCGCCACAGACAGGGGCTGTTGCCACCAAGACAGCCAGGGCTGTCTGCCGCAAACAGGGGCTGCTGGACTCAGCACGAGCTGGAACCGAGCAGTCCCGGCTAGCACTGATCGCTGCAGTTCAGCATATTAAATGTAGTAAAAGCCCAGCAGCTCTTACTACATTTAAAATGCAGAGTCACAGTGCAGGTGGCTCTGGAGCTAGCACAAGCCAGGACTGCTCATTCCCAACTGAAGTAGGCTCCTAGGGCTACTCCTGCTGTGGCTCTGTCCAGCAGTGTTTATCGACTAATCATATAGTTGATACAGGTTGTATAGACTATACGATTATCCAGATAATCACATTTTAACATCCTTAGCATACTCTAGGGGACAGAATGGAGAGCTTGAAATCAGGAGATGAGGAGTCTATTCCCAGCTATGCCACTGAGTCATTAATAAAGTTAGGCAACATGCCACCTCACAGGGTTAGCTCCTCTATGAGTAAAAGTAATAACATTTCCTCAAGTAAAAGGAGAATTGTGAAGTTTAACTAGTTTAATGTTTACACTAGAAAATTAAGTCAACCTATCTTAAGTCAGCATACATCTGTCAAAGTAATTAAATCACTGGTGTGTGTATATATTTTGCTCTTTGTGTATTCTTGCCAGGAACACTTGAATCAATTACACTGTCAGTGTAGGGCATTGTGGGATGGCATCTAAAGCCAGCAACACAGTGTCTACACTGCCACTTAAGCAACCTAACTTCATAGACACTGACTCTATGCCTCTTGTTGAAGTAGAGTTATTAAATTGGTAAAATGGGGGCAATGATGTCAGTGGGAGCAAAATTTTAGTGTTTACACTTACATAGCTAAGTCAATTAAATTTGCATAGAGTTCATTTAACTCTAGCGCGGACCAGGCCTGAATGAAATGCACTTTGAGATTCTTGTAGAAAAGGAACCACTAAAGAGCAAATTATTATTACTATAGTTCCACTTATCATTGATATTTGCATTTAAGTAAGAGTATTTGTTGATAATCCCAAATCATCTTCTCTTCTGCCTCAACCCTGTAATGAGATCACAAAGATGAGTTTGTGTCATCATAGAAATGCCTCTGGCAACCAGCTGATGTCATAAACACAGGATTAGGACATCTCTGCAAAATCCAGAAGACAAAAAGGTGGGATTGAGAGGAAGAGATCATGATTCAAATGCAAACTGGTAACAGCAGCACAGATATGAAGAGAGTTCTTGACAAAGTCAAATGTTTTTTCATGTATGGGCTATTTAAAAAAATTGCTTCAGCATGAAAATCTCTCAGATGGAAAACACTCTGGTATAGCCACCTATCTCATTTTTAAAAGGATCTGTGAAAGCTGAAAAGAACAATTAATTTTTTTCAGGCCACAGTGAAAGATCATTTGATGGACAACTCCAGCAAATAAAATTCTCAATATATCCACAAAATATACACAGTACAGTCAACCAACCAAGATGTTACCCGAGATGGTTAGCAGGAGGTTGTGATGGGACATTAAGTCAGGTCCAATACCATCTTCTCATTTAACATAGGTCAGTGTTTCTCAATATTTTAATGCCAGAGACAGGCTTGCTGCCTTGCTAACCCATGTCAGAGAGGTCTCAGGGACCAGCAGCAGTGTATGGACAAGTCATTAAAAACACTTATATAGGTCACTGAACAGTTTTCAAATAATAGCAACTTTCAGATAGTATTGATTAAATTAGTAGTCTAGAGATGAAATATTTCTGTACCCCATTAGCAAGTCCCCAAACCACCCAGTGCATTAGTTATCACTGTTAAGATGTACAGGTGCTTGCTACCAAGGACATCTCATGAATTGATCACACCAAAAAAATCAAGAACAACTTGAATTTTTTCACCTGGTCCCAAAAATTATTATATTCAGAAGTCAGGCTCTAGGAATAATCTCAATCACAACTATGAAGCTAAATAATTCCCAGACATCAGAGGCCAACATTTTCACACTCAGGCTATGTCTAGATTGCAGGCTTCTTTCAGACAAAGCTTTTCTGGAAGAGATCTTCTGGAAAAACTTCTTTCGAAAGAGAGAGTCTACACCAGCAAAAGCACATCGAAAAAGCGATCTGCTTTTTCAAAAGATAACGTCCAGATTTATTGGATGCTCTCTCGCATTTAAGTTGTGATTACTATGGACAGTGTGGCCACCAGGGCACCTGTGCTTTTTCCTGGAGGCCGCTTCTTTAAAAAAACAAAAAACAAAAAAAACAAAAAAAAACCCACACACCACACCTCTTCCCCATCCACACATGGCTTTTTGCAAAAGAGCTCTTTCGGAAAAAGGCTTCTTCCACAGAGAAAGAGGTTTACTGCTGTCACAAAAAACACTGTGTTCTTTCAACTTTTTGTCGAAAGAACGCAATTGCAGTGTGGATGTAAGTGTAACTGTTTTCCGGAAAAACTCTGCAGTGTAGACATACCCTTAGGGGGTTAGATGGAAGTGACATGATTTTTCAAAATGGCAAGCTCTCACAAATTCCACTGAAGTCAGTGCAAGTTGAAGGGACTCAAATGCCACTGAAAATCAGGCCACATTTATTTAGCTACTTAAATATAAATTAAGGGTCTATCCTTAGGCACTAGTGCTTAAAAGAAGAAGTTACTCACCCTGTAAAGTAACGATTGTTCTTCGAGATGTGCCCCGTGGGTGCTCCACTCCTGGCGTCGGGCCCCATCCCGGCAACGCGAATTGGAGAACTGTCAGAGCAGTGGTCCGCTGGACCACGCATACACGGCTTCCCTCTGGCGGCATTCGCGCCTTTCGACCATCGCGTGCAGTCTGGCCCCACTCAGTTCCTCTCACCCGCTATCTGAAACGATAAAGCAATTCCAGAGCGGGGAAAAGGGCGGGTCGTGGAGCACATCTCAAAGAACAATCGTTACTTCACAGGGTAAGTAACTTCTTCTTCTCCGAGTGACCCCGTGGGTACTCCACTCCTGGTGACTTTGGAGCAGTACGCACATTTTTGAGGGCTCTGGAATTAAGGTTTTTGGGTATGAGTGAGTTCTGCCACAGCCACCGAGGAATCAGCAGCAAATTGATTTACTACAGCATAGTGCTTCATAAAAGTAGTATGGGAGGACCATGTTGCTGCTTGGTAAATGTCCCGTAATGGGACTCCTCTTACAAAAGCTGTAGTAGTAGCTACTGCTCTAGTGGAATGGGCCCTAAGTGGGCACAAAAGGAGTTTATTACATATGGAATAACACGTGGTAATGCATGAAACTATCAGTCTAGCAATACACTGGGAAGTTAAGGGTTGCCCTTTAGAGCGATCCGCCAATGACACTATCGGACCATCCGTTTTTCTGAACTCTCGCATTCTGTCGATGTAAAACGCCAGCACGCTCCTTACGTCGAGCGTGTGTAATACTGCATCTTGCCGTTAAGTACAGGCAGTCCCCGGGTTACGTACAAGATAGGGACTATAGGTTTGTTCTTAAGTTGAATTTGTATGTAAGTCGGAACTGGCTCCAGATTCAGCCGCTGCTGAAACTTATCAGCGGCTGACTACAGGAAGCCCTAGGCAGAGTTGCTCTGCCCCCGGCTTCCTGGAATCAGCCGCTGATCAGTTTCAACAGCGGCTGAATCTGGACTCCTGGGACAGAACAGCTGGGGCACTGCCGGGTAGGTCCCCGCAGGACCAACCCGGCAGCACCCCAGCTGCTCTACCCCAGGCGTCCCGCAACAAAAGCCTGGTCTGCTGGGGGGGGGGCGCACTAGCTGCGCCTCCTGCCCCCCAGCAGACCAGGGAGACCAGAGCAAAGCCGCGGAGGCGCAGAGGTCCCGCCGCCTCTGCGGCTTTGCTCCTGTCTCCCTGCTGTGCACAGGAAGACAGGAGAAAAGGGAGACAGGGAGACAGGAGCAAAGCCGCAGAGGCGGGGGGGCCCCCCGGCCGCGTGGTCCCGCTGCCCACGTCCTCTGTGGCTTTGCTCCGCGTCTCCCTGGTCTGCTGCCCCCCCCCCAGCAGACCAGGGAGACGCGGAGCAGCTTTTCTCACTCCAGAGGACGCGGTGGCGGGACCGCTGCGCTCTGGGCGGTCCCGCCGCCCGCGAGCTCCGGGGTGAGAAAAGCCCTATTCATAAGTGCGGATCCAACATAAGTCGGATCCGCGTTAAGTCGGGGACTGCCTGTATGAGGTTTGGTGTAGAAGCATGGAAGGACAACCAGTTCATTAATATGGAATTCCGAACAGACCTTCGAGATAAACGCTGGATGGGATCTCAGCATCACCGATTCCTTGGTAAATACTGTGTAAGGTGGCGAAGACATGAATGCTGCTATCTCGCTTACTCTGCGAGCTGAAGTAAGGGCTGGTAGAAACAGAAGTTTAGTGATAAGGAAT